AAATATAAACACTAATAGTTATATCAAATTATTTATTTTAAAAATACATTAATATAAATGATAATATAATCCACAAATAGAAACATACAATTAATTCAAATCAAATGGTGTGAATCAAACCGTTTGGTCTATTATTAAATATATTTATATATTTACGAAAATAAGACTAAAATACTTTTAGATCTTCATAAATATTTTTTCATTAATTTTATTAAAAGTCGATTATATTGTGAATTGATATCAGCTTTGAATTGAAGTGTGAAAAATTAAAAATTATTTCATATAAAACTTATATTTGTTTCACTAATAACTGCTATGCGTTTCGATATATTAACACTTTTTTTTCTGTTTAATTCAACTAATAATTTGTGAGCGACTTATAAGTCGATTGAAATTATATATCGATTTAATTAAAAGTCTATTATATTTACTATCAAATGAAAACATAATATATATATAAAAACTTCAATTTGAATAAAATTAATGCATTTTTCATTTCCAATATAATTATAATATATATTGAGAGGAATTCTTTTGTATTAATTGACAGGAATTTAATGAATTGTTTCAAATGCTGTACAGATTTGTGGCTCAATATGTTTGACTCATTTTTGTATTTACAAAATTTAATCAAACATTAGTTTTTATCCTCTAATTCTGGCAATTCTTCGTCATCACTGTCTGCGCCGCCGTCTTCGCCCTCTTTGTCCTAAAAACATACCATTCATTGAGTAAATCGGTATAAAACCAGTTTCATTACGAATACACTTACGTCTAAATCGCCCAAATCAGGCATTCCTGCGCCCATACCTCCCATACCACCCATTCCTCCGAGACCTCCCATTTGTCTCATCATCTAATTGTGTGACACAAAAACATAAGAACATTAAAAACACCGAAACAATCAATACTAATGCCAACGCATACCTCCTCGAAGTCGCCGCCGCCGCCCATACCTCCGGGTCCGCCGCCGCCACCACCGGCGGCCTCATCGTCAGAGTCGTCCTCTGCCTTCCACTTATTGAAGTCAATCTTAAGCCAATGAAACTTCTGCTGGTCTTTGAGGAGTCGCTTCCAATACGGGCCCTCTTTTGCTTTGATTAACACAAACTCTGTTCCCCTGTCTCTCACTATGAATTTAGAGTCTTCGGTATTTATCTCGTCAAACAGTTCCAGTTTGGCCTCGTATTCCTGTTTACTGCCCGAACCAACGCCTCTGTTTAGACAGTCATTAGACAGACATTAGATTAAAGACAATAAACATATCCACGAAAGTAAACATTTAAAACACTCCCAAACGATAAGATAATTATTACGTAAATCGTTGGCAATCAATGGCCACTAATTATCTAAACACCACAATCGCAAACAGCGAGACAAAGACCACGTGTTTGGGACACGAAAAGCAATCAATCAATTGACACAAATACCAATTGATTGACCGCACAATCAATGAGGCGATAGAGAGGGTGTAAGAAGTGGTGGACAAAGTGAGTGGTGTTTACTTGTAATAGATTTTGTCCTTTTCGACCCTAATGTCGGGTGTCTTCACGTCTTCGACACCGATCTTAATGTAGACCAGATTCGATCGTTGAGCCCAATATACCGGCGCCGGCAGTACTCTATGCAACACAAGCCATGGGTTGAGAGGGAGAGAGAGAGAGAGAGGCAGAGATAGTGTGGGGGAGAGAGAGAAACGTGCCGTCAGTTAACATGTCATTCAATGGTATTCACTATTGCAAGACTCACTTGTTTTGTGTTTCAGGCATTACTTCCCAATGAGTTTGCGATACAAATACTAATTAACAAACGCTTTACGCAATCAATGAACGCAATCTATGGCCACAATTAGCGGTAAATTTGGTGTTGATTTGAGCCGAAAGTGAATCACTTTATACGAGAGGAGAGAGAGAGTGAAACACACAATGAGTTGAGCACTCAATTCAATGCCTTCACTAAAGCCTATGAAAAGTGTAGTGTTTTTAATGCGATTGTGTTCTCCCATAGACTTATGTTATGCCATACATTGCCATACATTGGAGGCCTGTGTTTGCCGTACAAAATGTGTGTCACGTGACCAACCGATCCGTCTAGAAGGGAGCCATTCATACATAACGTGACGCACATCACACACACCCACCCCTGAGCTGTTTGTGTCAACTCATGCTTGTATTGCATTGAAAACAAGGTTTGGCTCATCATTGAGATAATAGCCGTGACATTGTTATCGACCATATTATACATAATTATCGCTCATTTTTATGCATCATTTGATTCGTTGATTGCATTTTAATTTATACTTTTTTCGATGCGTTCATTAGTTTTTATAATGAGTTTAAATAAATTGAAATTTATGTTTGCAATGAACTAATTTTTTTTTCATAACCGAAAGTAACAGTATTTGTGGGGAAAGTGTTTTGTTTGTATGAAAACACATTGAAATGCAATGAAAAGTGTTTGCAATAAAAGGTACAAAATATGCGGACATTTAGTGCCCCTAAAAGTGTTTTGGAAATGCATTTCTAATACTCCGTTCTCACGGCCTTACTTCGAGTAAGCTACCTTGCTTAAGCATCGTGAGAACAGTCAAGCAAGCTAACTTATCGGAGCAAGCGAGGGACCCTTCTTAAGCAAGTATACTTACCTGAGCCCTAGTGAGAACGCAAAGGTTACTTGACTTGAACCAATCAGCGCACAGACAATAAACGTGTAGT